CTGACCACAGCTTCTGAGACATAAGCTTGTTCACAGCCTTTCATGGTCCAGGGGTCTGGTATCAAGGATTGTACGACATGCTTTGAGCCTTCTCCGTCACCATGGTAACGCTCGTTACAGTCTTGGCACATGGCTGTCCCTCGATTCCTATACAAAAGAAAACAGTCATGACTCCACTAGACTCTACGACAGGACCGCAACTGAATCTTATTGCGAGACTTRTAAAATGCGTATGTTTAGCACACTGAAGCACGCCGTATTTGTATAAAGTTTTCCGGTAAGAAAATCTCAGAATCTCAGAATGGAGGCTCAAATACTCAATTTAATTCGCAGAGGTTTCCACGCGACGTACTACCACCAATTTTCAAGGATAAATGGAACGTTAAACATAAACATAACGCCACCGTGTGCACGTCGACAAAGTTACAACCATAGAATTTCTCGTCCAAAGAACTCCTATAGTTTGGCTTCCTTGGGTGTTACCTCCGTTTAACAAATGCTGAATAAGCATATAAGGCTGCGTTTACAGCAAATTATTATGTGTGTTTACTCGAAAATTATCATCATCTTCTTTTTGAAAAATATCTGCGGTAAGGTCACTGTTTTGGTTTGTTTTGTGTTCACGGCAGTTCTAAAAGCTTGAAAAAGCAGTTTCGGGAATATCTTGATTTGTGTAAAAGCAGGTTTATTATGAATGCCGACGCAACTGGCGGGTAACTGGATATCATCAGCATAATTAACATAAATAACGGCTGTAACTTTCTGTGCTAATGTAAAAAAAATCTGATATTGTACACTTACTTGTTCCGTTTTGCACATTCAGGAGAAAAGCACATCATGGTACTAGAAATCCCTTGCCCTTTGCACGTCTCACCCTGACATTTAGTGGGCACTGGGCCGAGAGGGTCCAGAAGRTCAAGAAAAAATTGGTTGAAGTTTGGAACCTCCTTGGAAGCGAGCTCGGAACACTTTGCGCATATAAATACTGGRGGAGCTAGATCGCATTTACTGGCGGCGTACGATGCGTCAAAGCATATCTTGACACAGTGGTTTTGGTTTGGGACCATACAGGACAAGTTTTGACATTTGACTGGGTACCAAGACTCGTACATGAACTGCCAGTCATCAGCGCTTGCTCCTGAATAGATGAGAAATTATATCAGTTTTCTCGTTCGATTTTCATTCATTTATTCACATATACCAGTTKGTTATCTACTCAAAGGCCTTRCATCCGAGWAMCTTTGAGATAGCCTTCTTTAGCAGCAGCCCCTCTGTTGTCACGTACTAGTGTTGCATAACACAGGGACGTCTGCTAAAGGAGACTACCTTTGAGATCGTTTACTTTGTTTTTAAAAATATTTTTTGTTAAAATTGCTTTCTGATTGGTTCAAAATTGACTATGACGACTTTCAGTATAAAAGAATATATAAAATTGCGGAAAGGTTCTCCAATGCATATGGGTCGAATGGTTTGCTAAACCAACCTGAATTCCCTAAAGGGAAATAATGCAATAGAATCTGCCCTGCTGAATTGAGAATCGACTGTGGTCCATATGCAATAACCGCCATTATATCAAGACAAACGTCTGTCTTATACTGCATCAATGTCTCCACAAACTGGGCCTGTTGTTTGGAATCGGGGCAGTACTGAAGTACGTTCATCAGTAGCGAAGGACAAGACAGAACAGCGTATGACAGTGATGGATCTGGACTCTTTAGAATACCTTGTAATAAGACAACAAAGGTAGTGATTAATAGGTGATTGATTGAATCAAACAGACAGATAGACAGACATTGTGTAGGAGGACAGACTTCTACTTGTTACCTGTCTACACAATGTCTGGCACATATGCAAATATAGGAGCGAGAAGGGACWGAAAAAGGAGCTCCTTAAGAGCTACAACACAAATGAACATATTGTATGCAACAATTATATGTAAGACAACCATTTATTTATAACATTAATTAAGTTTGTGAAATGTCATGCACCCTCRYGAAAGRWTAGGGGCAGCAATGTATCATGGGRAGTATAAATGAAAATTGCAAATTACTAGAAATGCATCAATTTTGAGCTACAATGTACACGTACAGTAGAGAAAAGTAGAGAATGTAGATAGGTCTGCACTAGAATCCTGGAAATCCTGGTACTTTGGTTATTATTCCCTTTCTTTTCCCAACCCAAGAGCCTTTGTGCTCAAACTTCACTTACTAAGTCCAACTGGCATTACATATCCACACAGAAGATTGAACACATAACCATGGAAGGTTTCAGGCCATATCGACAAGTACATGACCACCATCATTGGCAAGGAATCCAAGTGCTCTTTGGGAAGAAATGGGATGAGAGATGCCATGATKGACAATATATTCTTGGCAAATGCTGAAAAACAAACAAAGAAACAAAAAAGTATTACTAGTTTAAAATAACTTCTCCTTCACAGTTACTTGCGCCATCTTGAAAGGTAGCCGTGCCTTTACATTGAAGCGAGACAACYGTTGAGCGTGCAATGATAGAAATCTATGAATAATTATGTAGGTGTGAAAGAAGGTTTCTATCATTGTACGCTCAGCGTTCGTCTTGCTTCGATGTAAAGGCACGGCTACCTTTCAAGATTGCGCAGGGAAATGTGAAGAAGACTATTCCTTTTCTATGGAATTTATACAGTAGTCTCTATGAATGAAAGAATAATGGATGGATTCCAGGTATTTTTGAAACATAGAACAATAAACAGAAAAGTAGGAAATATGGTAGGATACCTTCACTTCCCAATTCACAGTTTGGAACTACTTTAACCATTTTATTCAAGACTTTGAATAAGTCAACATATGCCATGGCTGGGTATTTCTGGATGTCAAATCTCTGTTTGTCTTCTGTTAAGCTGGGCCTTTCTTCCCTTACAAGCCTAAAGGAATAAAATATTTAAACAAACTTGATTATAGAAAAATGTRGAGATCCGTATCCAATGCACAAGTGGATAATTTTGTTCTGTAGCTTATTCAGGATATTAGGAGCAAACTAGCAGTAAACTAGTGTGAGCTGCGGCAGTGTTTCTAAAGAAATAGTTGTGTAAAATGATAAATTTAATTTTAACACTGTAAGAAACAACTTACTGACGTTTCAGACATTAATCTTTCCCTCTTTACTCTGACGAAGGATTTAAGTTCGAAACGTCAGTAAGTTATATTTTCACCTAATTTTTTACGGTGTTAAAATCAAATTTATCTTTTTACACAACTGTATCCAGGATATTGCCAGGTCTCAATCAATCTGTTAATTGTCAATTTTAGGTTAAAATCACACCTACCCTTGCAACACATCTTGAAACCACTGTAAGTAATTTGCCACATCATTTCCAGTGGGGAGGGGTAGGGTTTTGCTGTCCAAACGTTTATAAATTTCTCTCAAGCCATGTATTTTGGCATTGACTGTAAATAATAACATTATTTTAAAATAAACATATGAAAGGCAATAAGCAAAATTTATAGTATTGTTCCTAATAATATAAGCTTAGGTGTGAAATAGCACAGATAACATTTTATAAATTTCCCCCCACAAAGATTGGAAATGACCTGATAGATGAAAATTATAGCCATCAGAACAAACTAGTAAAAGCCTGAGCAAGCGAGAAAATGGGATTCAAAAGGATAATCAAGAAATGTCAATGAAAAATATGGATATGGAGTAGTGTTAAAATTTCCAAATCAATACAGAATAACGACTTACATTGTTCGGCTTTGGTTGACCTCTGTCTAGACATCTTCTCCCTGTATTAAAGCGATTGAATTCCTTCRAAAYCTTTAGGRCAGCTTCTTTGTKGMTTTGTCAAATGAACAGTGTATCAGCCGATTGCGAGGCGTCGGCATCAAATGAACAACATCTGTTTTCATGCGGCCAATTCTGATTTTTTTGGGTCTGTTCTTTGATTCCGTGTAAAGTTAGAAGGCAAGGASCTTTTCAACGGTCTACATAGTCGKTATTGATGTCTGTAAGTTAGCAAAAACGGCGGATCTTCWGATCTAAGGCATGAAAGTGCCTTATCATTGAAAGATCGTAGCCTATCCTCTCGAGTCGTCCGCCATGTTTTTGTTGTGAAAATGTTTTGCGAGCCCGCGAGATGCATTAATTTGAGCAGCTGTCACCAAAATAAACGAATGATCACGTGGGCAGAAGCGCGCCATATTGAATTCTCCAAGAGTAGTATAGAGTTGTTGGAATGTAATTTTGAAAATATCTATTTTACAGACTTCTGGATTGAAGTCCAGCCTGCTTTCATGTCAAAGCATGGCCAAGAGGTGTATATTTATTAATTTAAGCCTTTCAAGAAAACACAAAAAGCTTCAAAAATGAAAAAATCTAATCCAAATCAGAAGACATTGTTTCAAAGCTGGAGCAAACAGTCGTCATCTCATGGTACATCGTCAAGGCAAGACGYTCAAAACAACACYAGATTTGATCCTTTAGAGATYATAGAACTTGGAGATGATGATGAAGATGACGGGCTACTTGCTGCGGCAATGGAAATGGCGACCGTCGACGAAAACACACTTCCTCAGACATCAACAACTTCGCACAATAACAATGCAAACACTTCAATAAGTTCTGMCTCACCTAAAGAGATCGAGCATATACCCGGCTTTGATATGGAAGCWGGGAATGTATGGATCTATCCTACRAACTATCCWATACGAAATTACCAATTTCAAATCGTTGAGAAAGCATTGATGATGAACACGTTAGTGACTCTCCCCACCGGTCTGGGGAAGACATTTATTGCTGCTGTCTTGATGTATAACTATTACCGGTGGTACCCCCAGGGGAAGATTATATTTATGGCTCCAACAAAGCCTCTTGTGGCTCAACAGATTGAGGCTTGTTATAACATWATGGGAATCCCTGAATCAGACACAACAGAGATGACGGGTAATGCTAATGATTATAATACCATCAATCACTAATTGCGGTTGTTATTATTGTTTATTATTGATTGAGATTATTGACTAAATGTGCATACTACTAGTTGTTAATCCAAGAAAGCCAACCAATCCCAGCAAGCAATTTTTCACCTATTTATTTGTTTATATCTGACAAGTCTGTATTGTTTCCACTTCAGGTGCAATGGCTCCCACTAGACGAGAAGGGCTATGGAAGTCCAAGAGGGTCTTCTTTCTAACAGCTCAAGTTCTAATGAATGACTTGGGTAGAGGGTCTTGTGCTGCAGAGGATGTGGTACTCCTGGTGTTTGATGAAGCGCATAAGGCACTTGGCAATCATTCCTACTGTCAGGTATATTAATGAGGATAACAATGCTTTCTATGTCAATATAATGTTACTTAAATCATGTGTTGGCAATAGTCACAGTGCATTATGACTTAAGAAATGGTTTTGTAAAACTAATATGGAAATTTGGGCTGAATCCTATCATATTAATCTTGTTATAATGAGATTATATATGTATTGTATAGCCGGGCATTCTGATTGATTATTTATAATATTGCATCTATCTAATCAACCTCTCAATAGCCATCAAAATAATACTGTGTAACTTGACATCATGATAAGG